ATGCATCTGGGATGGTTTTAAGAGTCTGTGATCATCTTATGAGGTGTGTCATAATAACATCTGGCATGTGTTTTGTTTTCTGATGAGAGCTTCAATTGACTTCTCGTTCATGACTTGACTCATTTTAAGTTGAGAAATGAGAAGGTTGTTTTCATTTGCTTTTTATTTCCAGAATTTTTTGTATTAAAAAAGTAGTTTGAGCTGGGCAAAGTGGCTCACGTCTGGCCTCCCAGCACTTTGGGAGGCTGAGGTGGATGGATCACTTGAGGTCAGGAGTTTGAAACCAGCCTGGCCAATATGGTGAAACCCCGTCTCTACTTAAAATACAAATTAGCTGGGTATGGTGGTAGGTGCCTGTAATCCCAGCTACTTAGGAGGCTGAGGTAGGAGACTCACTGGAACCTGGGAGGTGGAGGTTGCAGTGAGCCAAGATCACGCCATTGCACTCCAGCCTGGGCAACAGAGTGGGACTCTGTTTCACAAAAGGGCCTGTATTGCATCTATCTTTAAATAACATATGTGTTAATTCCTTTCCCTTTCAACCTCATCTCTTATTATAATAACAAACATGTGGTTTCTTGAACTGAAAAGCTAAGCTTTTAAACAGAATAATGCAAGTCATTTAAATTTGTCACGGTTACAGTCATTATCCATAACTTTCAAATCAAAGAAAAATTTCTTGGGGTTCCAAATCTAAGAACAATGGAATTTAAATTTATCAGAGTCTCAGTTGAAGATTCTGACTTTACACTTGAGTAAAATAAGAATAGGAATAGATGGTCATTTTAAGGGTTCTTTTGGGTCATTTTTGGTCTTACAGACCACACCCTAGTCTACAAGAAGTTCTACTAATTACCATTCACATTTCGTAGACATGATTATCATGTTTATTAGACTTTAATTTTCTCATGATAAAACTGTATCTTTTTGTTCATATGAATATGTGATGGTATGATATTTTGAATACATAGTTGTAATCATACTTCTGTGTAAGTATGTGCTCATCGTTTTTCAATATTTTATATTTTATTAACATATTTTATTGCATAAACATGTTATTATATTATAAACTACTGTCTTTATCATCATATTGTTTTACATGACCACATTGTAGTCATTGATTTCCTATAACCAGGTGTTTATGGGTTTCTATAATCCAGAATTCCAAGAGAGGCCACTGTTCCCTCTTTATCTTCCCCTGTATCATAGGGCTAGAACAAGAAACAAACAAAAGTTGTATATTTGTCATATTCCTCCGGTTCCCCACTGGTGCTTCTAAACCCAAATCTCTCTGATCCTGAAGTTTTTGAGCCTTAGCATGTTAAAGCTGTGATTGATCTTGATTCTCACCCACATTTCTTATGGATATTGGCCACCTACCATTGTCCCAAGTTCTTTCTGATCGTGTGCAATTTCACGTTGATTATTATTAGTCCACCCAACACTATTTAATAATTATTTGAACTCAGTCTAGATGACCTCTACCTGCACCCTTCTTTACTCTTGTGACAATACCTAGTCATGTGATCTCAGAACTTTCTCTCTGAAATCTTTTTTTTTTTTTTCTTTTTTGAGATGGAGTCTCTCTCTGTCACCCATGCTGGAGTGCAGTGGCGTGATCTTGGCTCACTACAAGCTCTGCCTCCCGGGTTCATGCCATTCTTCTGCCTCAGCCTCCCGAGTAGCTGGGACTACAGGCGCCCGCCACCAAGCCCGAAATATGTTTCGTATTTTTAGTAGAGATAGGGTTTCACCATGTTAGCCAGGATGGTCTCCATCTCCTGACCTCATGATCTGCCCACTTCGGCCTCCCAAAGTGCTGGGATTACAGGCGTGAGCCACCGTGCCCAACCTCTGAAATCTTAAATCCCTAAGTCTCACTCCCTGATAAAATACTTTCTTTGTAAAACGTCTGCTGTTTTTCATCATTGGTGATTCCATTCTCTTTACTACTGTATTCTTTTCTCAAATTATCAGGCTCCCTCTAACCTTACTTTTTTACTCATCCCCCATAGATCCCTGTAAGTGTTATGCCTTCTTTCACTTTCAACTTCACTGACAGCTTTTATACCTTTGGTCTTCCTCCACATGTGATCTACAAAACTTCAACCTAAATTGAATCTAAATGTACTCGTCTTTGTTTCAGCCACTAGGTTGAATATCACTCAACTGAGTACTATGTTAGTGCTACTCCAAACTCATGCACTCCGTCCTCAGCTGAAGCAACATGTTTTCTGACTCATTACATTAAGCACTCCTGTAGTACTTATTCAGCGCTTCCATATTTCCCTAAGTGGCTATTTCAATCTGTGGATCGTTTCCCAAATATTACTAATAAACTTCCATTCACCTTTGACCTATATATCAAATCATGTTGCCTCCTTCTTCACTCAGACATGCAATGATATCAGAAAGTTATTTCCTTAAGTTAATAAGGTATTCTATGAATACCTTCAGCAAACATCATATGCAACTGTGAAACTGTAAACATTCCTATTAAACTCAGAAGGAAAAATAAGGACATCAGTATTGCCCATATATTTCAATAGTACGTTCGAAATCCTAGCCAATGCAAATTAGAAGAAATAAGAATTGGAAACAAGTGGCAGTACTATTTTTATGTGGGGAAAGTATGAGATTAGAATGGATACTGGAGAAGACATGTAAAACTCATTAAAGTGACTGAATTGTATATGTCCTAGGCCATGTGACAAACAAGTGTATGACATGATGATAACCCATGTTAGCTGAGTTTTAAATCTGAACAGGGTGATGGGACTGTTTTAGCTATGGTGAAAAAAGTGGCAAAATATATGGGAATCTTAAGAGAAAATTTGTACTAATCAATGGTAGCAGCATGCTAATTATAGTGAACTTGATTTAGTATTTTGGGGGGACATTTAATCTCAAAATATTATTTTATTTTCAAATGCTATAACTTTTAATACTCTATTTAGAGGAGATATTTTCTTTTATCCTCCTTCCTTCTTTTCTTTCTTCCTGTCTTCTTCCATTTGATTATAATACAAAATTAATTATCTCAAAATCTTCGTTTTCCACTCTTTGTTGTATTAATATGATTTAGCTTTCTTAAAATTCATGTTGTTATGTTTAAATCAAATTTTAAAAAGTTTTTATTTCATCTGTTGTTTAATAGAACTATAATTTAAAAATATGATTTTCCTGCTTCTCCCCTCCTCTTCTCCCTTCCCCAGTCCCTCTCTGTGTATCCTTACCTTCATCTTTCTGTCCTATTTTTTCTTGATTTAACTTTGAAGTAATTTCAGTTACCTTAATAAGCCAAATGAAGTAACTGGGCTTATCATCTGTCTATTCATCCATCCATCCACCTAACCACGCATTCATTAAGGAGTCATTTCATCTATTTGTAGGTGATAAATTTCTATAAAATCTATTTTAATTTGTAAAGATATAAAAAAACACTACATCCATATGTGTATTTCATCTTTTTGCTATTTCTTCATGTAGTCATATTTCTTAAAATAATATGTTTATTCTACCTTTTGCTTAAAGATTACATCTCTACTTTCCTGATAGGACTGTGGATACCAGGCCTTGACATTCTGCCCGAAGGTTTAAATGAGTTGTTTAGAACTTCAGATATAGTTTCAGCTAATCTCCATTTTCAACCCTCATGCATTGCTTCTCCCTAGACTATGTGTGCCTCAGTCTTGAGACTTTCTGGAGTTCCACCAATTCAGAAGTTCTCTTCTCATCAAAAATCTTCCTCTTGACATTTAGGCTGTAGCTTTCACTAAATCTGTTCATATTCTTCCCTGAATTTTCTAGCTTTCCTAAACATGGGCAAGGTGATTCTTTTAACATTTTATTAAAATAATTTATTTAAATTATCTCTTAAGACCATTATATTTTGTTTCTGGAGAGAGAGAAAAGTCACAAGCAGTCAGTTGACCATCTTTAATTAGGGCAAGCTCTGCATTAAATTTTTTTTCAGAAACAAAATAAATATCCAGCAGATGGATTCAAAGGTGAAATTAAATCCCCATTCCATCATGTTTAGTAATTATGTGATCTTTGGTAAATCAGAACTTCCTAGGCCTAAATATCTTCATCTATAAAAGGAGTTTAAAATTTATTTTATAAGGATATGGGAAATACAGAACATATAATGTATCAAAAATAATTGATATTAAAATAACTTTTGTTATTTGAAAATAACATTATAACTTATACTTGGTAACAATTCATTTTCTGAAATGATTATTCAAGTATATGTCTTAATTAGTAAAACAGAACATAAATATTTGACTAAAGAATATTAAGGAGTTTAAATATTTCCCTTTTTACTGATAATTTAAACCAAAAGATCAAATATCTTGCTAAATTTTTATGTTAATTAATATTTCAGTATCATATACTATGCAACATACCATTTTGCTAAGAAATTTTCAAATAAAATATTTCTGGTATTTCAAATATGACAGATAGCTCTATGCCATATTAAAATAGTATTTCATAAATATAATTTCACAATTGTATCAATTCAAAATATAAATGTAAGTTCAAGACTGCCTTATATGTAGTTTATTTTGCATTAATATTTTTTCAAAACTATGTTCTTCACAATAATTGAATATATTTAAATTAATCATTGCTGTTTTATTACATTTTCTAAGTTGTAACTATTCATTTGTCTTACATGATGAAATTGGTATTTATAACATATATTCTTATATTATTCCTTTGGAATTTGATAATTGGTAAAATAATTTTATCTAAAATATGAAAATGAAAATGATATGAACAGTTTTTTGCCTGGCTTATACATATACACTTGTCCCTAAAATTTCATTTATTAGGGCTAGATTTCACAGATTAATACTGACATTTTAGTCGTGACAACTGCCATTTTCATCCCTGCAGCGAGTAACTAGTAAAAAATTTGCATATTCTCAGCTAATAACTACTAAAAATTTTGCATATTCAGACATATAATAATTAATATTTATATTTTTTAGGTATAGCTTACTTGAGTGGAATGTGTAGTGAAAAGAGAAAATGTATTATTGCTGAAGACAATGGCTTGAATCTTGCTTTTACAATTGCTCATGAAATGGGTCACAAGTAAGTAAAAATCATGGCTATGTTAAATATGTTAGCATATAACTTTGTAATTTGAGTTACTGAATTACCTGGATATCTTTTGATTTTTTTCTGGGCTTCAAGTTTTTGAAAAACTAGGGAGAAAAGAAGGGGTGAAGACCGAATACATTTAAAGAATGTCTTTTGAGTGTTGCAACTATTCCTGCTTCTTTGAATAAAATCTTATTACATTATTAAAATCCTTAGCAAGACAGTCATTACATAGTGCATGATTGATTTCACTACAGATTTTTAAATGATACAAATATTTCCATAATCATGAGACTACAAAGCTATAAACTTTTCAAACATTCACTCAGTACAAATGAAAGTAATTCCAGCCTCTGGTACTACCTGTATTTGTTATTACCAGGCACAAGTGAAGGAGTTAACCCACATGATTTAGATGTAATGTACTTGAAAGACAATGAAATTAGACATATAATTAACATGTATTGAATATTAACTATGTCTCAGGAACAGTTATAAACATTTTCAATAGATTAGTTCATTTAATACAAAACCCAAAGAAGTAGTTATTGTTTTAATTTTCATTTCACTGAAATTAATAGCAATAATTAGTAATAGCAACACTTACATAGTACTTACTATTAATATTTGCCAGACACGCTTTTAAGTGCTTTGTATATATTCACAACAATTTTGTGATGTGTTATTAGTATACCCATTTTATAGGAAAAATACTGAAATATAGAGAATTTACCCTCCTGAAATTATTAAAATGGTAATTGTTGAAGCGAGGGGTTTGAACTCAAGCCATTCAACTCAGGTCAGACTGTTCCATAACATTAACAAACTGTTCCATTAAGTTATCTGTTATCTTCTGGCCTAGATTCCTCATCAGTGAATTGGGATAATACCTTTGTTTTGGGATTAGTTTAGGATTCAAATTACATAAAGCTATGATCATATTTTTAGGAAGTTTATTAAAGTAGAAATGGCGGCCTGGCATGGTGGCTCATGCCTGTAATATCAGCACTTTGGGAGGCTGAGGCAGGTGGATCACGAGATCAAGAGATCAAGACCATCCTGGCCAACATGAAACCCTGTCTCTACTAAAAATACAAAAATTAGTTGGGTGTGGCGGTACGCGCCTGTAGTCCCAGCTACTAGGGAAGCTGAGGCAGGAGAATCACAGGAACCCAGGAGGTAGAGGTTGCAGTGAGCCAAGATTATGCCACTGCAGTCCAGCCTGGCGACAGAGCAAGACTCTATCTCAAAAAAAAAAAAAGAAATGGCACAGGTTAGGGAATCAGACTTAATTTCGAATGCAGGCTTCCCTAATTGCTGGCAGTATCAGCAGTATAAATGCAAGTATTTTAATTGGACTCAGATTTAGTGAGGCCCTACTAGGGAGGTGATCTTTATGGAGGGACGGCTCTTTAGTTAAAGACATATTTAGTTTGGCCTTCAGTGTTTGAAAAATTCAATTAGTTGCCAACATTAAAAAAGTATAAATTTGACATAAAAGTAAGATTTGCAGACCTGGTAACACTCAACCCTGTCCCATATGGCAACCATTCCTGGGAGCTGGGTAGCATCTATACCCTTTAAATTAGACCCATCTTTCTCAGTTCATCAGAGGCCACAACACCCTAGTATGGTACACCCAGCTCACTTCATTTTCATTATATTCCTGGAGTCTGTAGGCAGTTGAGTAAAGTTTAGTTGGCAGTGGAATTTGATTGGTAAAAGAAAGATTAGATGAAACAATTTACATCGGACATGACAGTAGTTGATTTAAAAAGTTATTCAAGTAAACACAAGTGATCAGATCCTAATTACACAGCTCATTGAATTATCAAAAATTAAATGTAGAAATGTATCCATAACCCAGCCTAAGAAACAGAAAAATACCAATACCAATTGATTTTTATTTTTTTTAATTGATCAAAATTTACTCCATACAAATGTTTTGAAATGTATATACATTGTGGAATGGCAAAACTGAGCAAATTAACATAAGCATTACCTCACATACATAGCAGTTTTTGTGTTGAGAACTTAAAATCTACTATCCTAGTAATTTTCAAGTAATTGATTTTTGATGTCACCATTTTTAAATGTATAGATATACAGTTGCCCTTTGGTATTTGCCAGGGGATTGGTTCCTGGGTCTCTGCATATCCCCAAACCCAAGCATATCCAAGTCCAGCAATTGGTTCTGTGGAACCCACTTATTTGAGAAGTTTGTCCTCTATATATGCAAGTTTAGCAACCTGCAAACACTGCAATTTTGATCCTTGTTTAGTGTTTAAAAAATTGCCTCTAAGTGACCTACACAGTTCAAACCCATGTTGTTCTAGGGTCAAGTGTCCTTTCAGATTCTCCCATATAGGCTTTCACTCTTCAGTTAACTGACCAATAATATGAGGAGTTAATTTGTTAATTTTAAAAAAAGAGCCAGGCATGATGGCTCACGCCTGTAATCCCAGCACTTTGGGAGGCCAAGGCGGGCAGATAACGAGGTCAGGAGATTGAGACCATCATGTGAATGGTGAAACCTTGTCTCTACTAAAAATACAAAAAATTAGTCAGGCATGGTGGTGGGCGCCTGTTGTCCTAGCTACTCGGGAGGCTGTGGTAGGAGAATGGCGTGAACCCAGGAGGCAGAGCTTGCAGTGAGCCGAAATCGCACCACTGCACTCCAGCCTGGGTGACAGAGTGAGACTCCATCTCAAAAATAAAATAAAATAAAAATAAAAAAAGATAAATATACTTTAACATCCTCATCCTTTAGGGAAAGTATGCAGTGCACTAACCTTGTTTAATATTTCATTCTAAGAATGATAGGCTATAGATTCTTAATTCCAAAACAATTCTGATAATTGAAAGGTATTTTCAGTTTAGTCATAAAACCTATGAAAAATTATAGGCATCATTTGAAGGAAAAATGCTGAGAATAATGTCTAGAGGCAAGAAAATCTTATTAATAAATAATTTTATAAAGATAGGTGTTTTCATAAATAGAATTCTCATAAAATACAGATTTATGAATAATTATGATTTTTGCTCTTGAGCTATGCAGTAACACCTTGATATAAAAACAGTATATATTTATGTAAACAGATTTTAAATAATTTTGTCAAGTACCCTGAATAGTTTACTTTTAAGAAGTATATTTTTAAACCAGTATGTTTAAAACCAGATATGCAAAATTAATTTCTTCAATCTTCATTGTATTCTAAAATGTAGGAGAAACACTAAGGGAATCAAGTGCAATACAAGTTAATTTGTTAACATCTAAACTGTTGACCATGGAGCTACAACTATTTAAACCAAAAACTAAATGAGGTAATTTAAGGAAAAGCCACTTCAGCTTTATGTAGTAGAAATGTTGGTTTATGACCAGGAGCTAAGATTGGAATAGCTCAAATGGTACGAAAATATTATTTTATTTGACTTTTATAGAGCTGTACCCAAAAGCAATAGAGATGTGCCAAAGGTATGTGTAATACTTGATGGACTAGGACCAGGATGTGATATATGTTAAACTACTCCTTTACTGAAATTCTCCATAGCAGTAAGCAATATTTGTCTCAAAAGTAAGCAATATTTGTCTCAAAAGTAGTGGCTGTTTTCCTGATGCTAGACAGTGAGAAGCAACAGCAGTCAGAATAATGTCATGTTTATAAAAAACAAGCAGGAAGAAATTTATCTGTATGAATTACGTCATCATCCTCCATTATAAGATATAAGGCACAATGTAAGAAGAAATAAAGAAAGAAGAATACAAGAAAAAATGTCCATATGCTCATAATCTCTCAGTGGGGAAAGTCTTCATGGATGTTAAATAATGATATCTACAGATTCTATGTGCATGCCATTGTGCATGCACACGTACACACACACACACACACACACACATATATATGCAGAGCCCTTTTATTTAGCGGTATGATTAAGAGTTAGCTACTTAAGTGAAACTCTTTAATCCTATATTTTTCTTTTTCTTTTTGGATTTCCTTCTTTCTTTTTTTTGTGTTAAATTATATACGTGAAGACTATCTTCTAGAAACTAATAATGAACTATGATATCATGTAATTCTGCAACTCACAATCTTAGAATGACAGAATGATTCCATGTAAACTTTTCAAGAATACTTTTATAATCATATATAAAATGTTTCTAAACAGATTTTAAATGAATGTATTTATGTTTGTTGACTTTAATTTGATTTCTAGAAATTCTCAGAACAAGTTCACATAAAGCTAGAAAAATCAATACAGTCCACTAAGTATTTAAAAAAATGACTCTTGGGGATGAAAATTTGAGTAAATAAAGAGAACCAACAATTTGTCTCTTACTAGTGCAAAGGAATCTAAAACAAAGTCAGCAAAAATGTATTGACTTTTTCCTTTGGCAAATTATCAACTTAAAAATATATACAATTATATAGAAAAGTGTAAATTAAGATCTACAGTAAGAGAAAAGAAATAAATTATTTAAGCCAGCATTTTAAAATTGTTTCAGAACAATTTTGCTTCCTAAACAATAACAGTAGGAATTATTATTTTTTTGAGATGGAGTCTCCCTCTGTAGCCCAGGCTGGAGTGTAGTGGCTCCATCTCTGCTCACTGCAACCTCCACCTTCTGGGTTCAAGCAATTCTCCTGCCTCAGTCTCCTGAATAGCTGGGATTACAGGCGTGCGCCACCACACCTGGCTAATTTTTTTTTGTTTTTAGTAGAGACCAGGTTTCAGTATGTTGGTCAGGTTGGTCTCGAACTCCTGACCTCGTTATCTGCCCACCTCGGCCTTCCAAAGTGCTGAGATTACAGGCGTGAGCCACCATGCCCGGCCAGAAGTTATTATTTTTCTGGTAACTAAAATTTTTGACAAGAAATATTTTTACTGGTAGTGCTGAATTAACACATATTCATCAAATATAATTGGGATCTTCATAATTTAATGTGATGAAGTCTAAAACTTTATTTTGTGAATGAAAATACTTAGAAATT